ATATATATATATATATATATATATATATATATATATATATATATATATATATATATATATATATATATATATATATATATATATATATATATATATATATATATATATATATATATATATATATATATATATATATATATATATATATATATATATATATATATATATATATATATATATATATATATATATATATATATATTAGTTTTTTTATTAAATTAAATAAAATTTTATTTTATTATTTAATACAATTTTTTTTATTTTATTATTATTTTATTTTATTTTATTTTATTTTATTTTATTTTATTTTATTTTATTTTATTGTGTCAACAGTATGATAGTCCCCTGCTTTTGCAATTAAATTCATATGATAATATTATAACTAAAACATTTACATATTTTTATTTATATAATATATTAAAATATTAATAAAATTTAAAATTTAACAATTTAACTTCATACAAATTATACATTTCTGTACATATTAAAAAATATAAACAAACAAACAATAAATAAATAAATAAAATGCAATTTCTGTTTATATCATGTTTTATAATGTTGCTTTATTATTTTATTTATTTTAATTTAATAGTTTTATTGTTTAAATATTTAAATTAAACATTTAACACTTTAATTTTATATAAAGTATAAATTACATGCTAATGTTCATTACTTTATTAATTACTTTATTATTGAAACGACAAACTATAAAACAACAGTGAAAAAATAAATAAACAAACAAACAAACAAATAAATAAATGAATGTATTAATTAATGAATGAATGAATGAATAAAATTAAAATTTTAGTTAATAATGATTTATTTTATTTCAGATATGATATTAATTCACTTAAATAACGCTAGAAAAAGAAAACCGTAAATTTGAACAGAATACACTGATAAGATTAAGCACTATATAAGTTTGAGCACTATATGACTTTCCATACAATATTTCTAATCAGAACTTTAATTTAATTTAATTTAATTTAAACTTGCATTTAATTATTATTTTTTTCTCTCCCTCATGGTATACAGAAAAAAAAAAAAGATTACTAGCCTGAGAAGCTCAAACAAGCTGCGAATGGAGGAGAGTCAGAAAGTGAGAGAAAGAGAGTCAACATCAGGCAGACGAGTGAAGCTTATTAATATTTGGTGTGAGAGAAGTGTGAAGCAGAGATTTATGATGAACTCTCTCTCTCTCTCTCTCTCTCTCTCTCTCTCTCCCTCCCTCCCTCTCTCGTTTATTGCAGACTTGTCTTTGCTTTTAGGGGGAGATTATTGTCAATTGTCCTCCTGTTGAGTTTCAGATGGTTATGATGTCAGAGGCTAAATGTGTCACGATCGGCTCCATTTAGACAAAACGGCAGAATTATGTGCATCACGTCAGATGGACTAAGGAAGGTTTTTTTAAGCCACTAAATGTTTGAGACAGAGTAAAGGCATAGTGCTGTGCTAAAGTTTTTCTCAATGTTTTACTTAAACCAAATTACAATTAAAAATAAATACATATAAATAAACAAATAAATACATATAAATAAACAAACTAATAAATAAATAAATAAATTACTCCTTGTCAAATTTTAATTAATTAATTTTATTTTTTGTTTAATTATTTTTTGGTTTCACTTCATTTCATTTTTAATTGTTAATTAAATTTACTTTTTGTTTAATTTAAATTAATCTTTATTTCCTTAAATTTTGTTTAATTATTATTTTTTGTTTAATAATTTTTTTTTTGTTTTATTCATTTTTTGGTTAATTTAATTGAATGTTTAATTTAATTATGTTTTATTGTTTGCGGTTTAATTAATGTTTTTAATTGGTATTTTAATACATTTTTCGTAATTTATTTTTTATTTTAATTTAAATTTTATTAACTTAATCTTTAATTTTATACTTTTTGGTTTAGCTTAATTACATTTTTTGTTGAATTTATTTTTGTTAAGTTTTATTACATTTTTGTTTAATAAAATGTTTTTTATTAGTTTTTTGTTTAATTTAATTTAATTTAATGTTTAATGTAATAAAAATATTATTATTTTGATTAAGTTAATTGTTTTAATAGTTAATTAAATTAAATTTTTGTAATATATTTTTTGTTTAATTAAATATTTAATTTCATAATTTTTTGTTTAATTGAATTCTATAATATAAAATTTTAAAAATATTTTTGTTTAATTTATTTACTTTTTTGTTTATTGAATTTTTTTGATAATTGGTTTTGTTTTATTTAATGTTAAATTTAATTAACTAATTTACTTTTTATTTTTTATTTTTATTTAATTATTGTTTAATATTTTTTTATTTAATTTAACTTAATAAACTTAAATTTCTTTTTGCTTGATTTTACTGTTTACATTAATTTATTTTGTAATTGTTAATTTAATACTTTTTTGTTTATTGTAATTAAGCTTGTCATTTTATTAAATTGTTGTTTAATTATTTTTTGTTTAATTTATTTGTAATTATAGATTAACAATTAACAAACAATTAACAATTAATAAACATAAAACTCTATCCCTAACTCAGCCTAATAGTTGAGCCCGAGCAAGCCAGCACAAAGCCACAATGCTGTATTTGCACCATTCAGCTCATAAAAGTTGGACTTCAGCTCAAAAAAAAAAAAAAAAAAAATCACACACTTTACCTTCAGTTCTTATTCACACATAGTTCTTCACATCGCCCACAACATTAGGACAAAGTACGGTAAAGTGCTGTAATTATTCACATCTGTTTACACTCTCCACTGAAGACTCTCTGCTAATACGACCGCCATCATCTTCAACTCATTAAAGCTGTTTATAAGCTATATTAAGTTTAAGACTCCTGTAGGCGTACATAATCAGAACAGAGCGTTTGCTTGTGCATTGACGTGAACTGAGACCATTTTTGGAAACGTAGTAATAGGAAAATAGAATTGTCACCGCACGACTACATTTTCGCTTCAGGTGATTCAAACGCCCTTTTCATCTCTCTGCTTTTTCTGTAACCAAAAAGAAAATCTTCTGTAAACTTTCTGAGTAGTGCTTGATGTTTTTTAACGAGGTACAGCGCTCTCATAATCAGCCTCTTCATTATCTCATGGCCGGATGAAAGATATGACCTTTGCCGGTTGTTGTTATGTGCACTAACATCACACTCGTTTTGAAACGCACTTGAAGCAGAAGTTCAGCCAAAAAGAAAGCAGTATTTACTCACTCTCATGTTGTGCAGAATCTCTGTGACTTTCTCTTTTTTATGAGGGATGTAAAATATGTTTAAATAATCTGCTTATAATCAGCTCAGTGTTTATATTAATATTAATGTGTTGCTAGTTTGACATACATGAATCAAATGCTTAATTGAGAGTAAATATTTAAAGTTAAATAGAGACTCACTCTGAGTGGATTAGTTTAATCAGTGAGATGGTAACAGCAGACTCACTCTGATCGGATCATTTGAATCAGTAAATCCTTAACTGGAGACTTGCTCTGATCAGATCATTAGAATCATTGAATCCTTAGCTGGAGACTCACTCTGTGTGAATCATTTGATTCAGTGAATCATTAACTGGAAACTTAAACACTCTGAATGAATCATTTGAATCAGTGAATTCTTAAGTAGAGACTCACTCTGTGTAAATCATTTGAATCAGCGAATCCTTAATTGGATTCTCCCTCTGAGTGAATCATTTTAATCAGTTAATTATTTACTGAGGACTTGCTCTAAGCGAGTCATTTGAATAAATGAATCCTTAACTGGAGACTCATTCTGAGTGAATCTTTTGAATTAGTGAATCCCTAACTGGAGACTCGCTCTAATCCAGGGGTCACCAATCCTGTGTTTAACGCATGGCTGGCATAAATAGACATTGGTGTTTCTGTGAAAGATGTGTTTTACCTGAGGTGTAGCTCTAGTTGTGAATAGAGAAAGCGCTGTAGTGCTCGTCTAGTGGTGATTTCTGCATGGCAATCATTGACCAGCAGCCCTTGGTCGCTGATGTACTCTCCATTTATGCATTTGGTACCGGAGGAGAGCGCCACCACTTGAGCATGTCTCAGATCCAGGCCTGATCAAAACACACAAACACAGGAAGTCAACACACAACAACATAATAACAGTGGAATTGAGTTTAGTGGCATCACTTTAGTGGATCAGTTGGCATTTCTGTGTGGAGTTTGCATGTTCTCCCCGTGTTGGTGTGGGTTTCCCTGCAGGGTTTAGCTCCAACTTGCCTCAACAAACCTGCCTGGATGTTTCAAGTATACCAAGTAAGACCTTGATTAGCTTGTTCAGGTGTGTTTGATTAGGGTTGGAGCTAAAATCTGCAGGACACCGGCCCTCCAGGAACAAGTTTGGTGACCACTGCTCTAATCAGTTCATTAGAATCAGTGAATCCTTGACTGGAGACTCACTCTGTGTGAATCATTTGAATCAGCAAATCCTTAACTGGAGACTAAAACACTCTGAATGAATCAATTGAATTATTGAATCCTTTACTGTAGACTCGCTCTGAGGGAATCATTTAAATCAGTGAATCCTTAATTGGAGACTCATTCTGAGTGAATCATTTGAAACAGTCAATCCCTAACTGGAGATTCACTCTGACCAAATAACTTTAATCAGTGAATTATTTACTGGAGACTTGCTCTGAGCGAATCATTTGTATTAGTGAACCCTATATTGGAGACTTACTCTGAGCAAATCATTTGAATCAGTGAATCCTTAACTGAAGACTTGTTCTAAAGGAATCATTCAAATCAGTGAATCTTTAACTGAAGACTTGTTCTGAGCAAATCATTTGAATCAGTAAATCTTTAACTGGAGACTCGCTCTGATTGGATAATTTGAATCAGTGAATTATTAACTGGGGACTCACTCTGTATCATTCAGATTAGTGAATTCTTAACTGGAGACTTGCTCTGAGTGAATTATTTGAATCAGTGAATCCTTAACTGGAGACTTGTTCTGAATGAATAATTTAAATCAGTGATTTTTTTAACTAGAGACTTGTTCTGAGCAAATAATTTGAATCAGTGAATATTTAACTGTAAACTCACTCTGATTGAATCATTTAAATCAGTTAATACTTAACTGGAGACTTGCTCTGAGCGAATCATTTGAAACGGTGAATCCTTAACTGGAGACTCACTCTGATCTGATCATTTGAATCAGTGAATCCTTAACTGGAGACTCAATCTGATCGGATCATTTGAATCAGTGAATTATTAACCGGAGACTTACTCTGATTGTATTGTTTAAATCAGTGAATCCCTAACTAGAGACTTGCTCTGAGTGAATCAGTAAATGCTTAACTGTAGACTTGTTCTGAGCAAATCATTTGAATCAGTAAATCTTTAACTGGGGAATCACTCGGATCGGATCATTTGAATAAGTAAATCTTTGACTGGAGACTGACTCTGATCGGATCATTTGAATCAGTGAATTATTAACTGGAGACTTGCTCTGATAGTAACATTTAAATCAGTGAATCCTTAACTGGAGACTTCCTCTGAGCAAATCATTTGAATCATTGAGTCTTTAACTGGAGACTCACTCTGACCGGATCATTTGAATCAATGAATCCTTAACTGGAGACTTGCTGTAATCTGAATATTTGAATTAGAGAATATATACACAATTATTAGAGTACAATATTATGCTTTAGAAAGTAGGGTAGCAAAGTAAAAGTAAAGCTTTTCCAAAATTGAAATACTCTGGTACCACAAATGCTTTAAACTTGTATTTGAAAACAGCAGTGAATCAAAAAAAACTTGCCCACCACTGCAGCTGAGTTATATATGAAATGAGTTCCCTAGAGTTCTGCATGTGAAGCAAGATTTTTTTTTCTGAGAAAAAAATAGATATTGAGTAAATGATTTGTTCTATTTTAATGATGTGTTTAGATGGAGCTTGCGAAAGAGGAGAAATGTGAGTTCCTGCCGTTTCTGTCTCCTCGTGAGGTGTTGCTGAAGGGAGGTAGAGTGCACGGGATGGAGTTCTGTCGAACTGAGCAAACAGAGTCTGGTCAGTGGGTAGAGGATGAGGAGCAGATCATACGACTGAAGGCTGACTTTATCATCAGTGCTTTCGGCTCCATGATGAAGGACCCTGCTGGTGGGCTTTTTATTACAGATTCACATTAAATCATCCAGAGTGTGAATTCAGTGTTTTCTGCAACATACTGAAGTGTGCATATTTTTCGATTGTCTTTAAATTAGTTACATACAAGCATTTTCATGCATTAAGTTGAATTATTACATTGCTACAAATTATTAATTATACAGGGGGGAAAAAGTATTGAACATGTCACCATTTTTTTGAGGAAACATTTTTAAGGGGGCTGTTGACTTTAAATTTTTCCTGGATGTTGGTAACCACCAAAGAAATCTATATATACAAAGAAAGCAAATCTAATTTGTTTACAAATTAAGGTATGCGTAATAAAATGAAATGACAGAGGGAAAAAGTATTGAACACATGAAGAAAGGGAGGTGTAAAAAGGCAGGGAAAGCCCAGACAGCAGCTAAAGTAGTTCTTCAGCAACCCTCTGCCCTTCGTCATTGTAAATGAATATTAGCTGCTTTAGTTCAACATTTACATTACCAGGATGATGAAGATGAAACCAGAGTGGACATTTTTAGCAAGAAAATTATTTAAAACACAGCCAAGCAAACTCTCTAATGCTTTCAGAGAAAGAAAATCAAGCTGTAGAATGGCCCAGTCAATCACCTGACTTAATTCCAATATCAAATACAAAATAATGAGACCCACAGAATTCATCAAGATTTTTTCCTTAAGATTTTTTTTTTTTTTAAAGGAATAAATCCCCCTAATATTATTCTTGACTCGGTACAAACTAGTTTGTGTTCTGTTGAACACAAAAGAAGATGTTTTGAAGAATGTTGTAAACCAATAACCGTTGACTTCCATAGTAATTGCTTTTTTTAACAACAGGTTTCCTACATTCTTCAAAATATCTTCTTTTGAGTTCAACAGAACACAAACTGGTTTGATTCCTTTAAAAATAAAAATCTTGATGTAAAAATCTTGATGAATTCTGTGGGTCTCATTATTGTGTATTTTATGTTCATTCATTCAAAAACTATTTTTTTATCTGGAGAGACTTACGAATTATTTTTATTTGCAAGTCATGGTATAATTTTTATCAAAAGTAAATCTTAAAATTCTATTTATATCTAATTTTATTATTGATGTCTTTTTCTTCTTCTTTTTTTTCTTTTTATTCTTCTTCTTCTTATTATTATTATTATTAATATTATTATTGATGATTATTGTTATAAACCTCGTTTTTTTATGGAAAAGTGATATTAGTAAAATGTTTGTAAAATTGTTTTTTTTTATATAGCTAGAGAAGCTTGTATGGTAATAAATTAATTTTTTTTAAATATCCTTGTTTGTGTTCAACAGAAGAAAAAAAAGGAAAAAAAGTGAACGTGTAATTTTACATGTTTGTGTAAATTATCCCTTTAAGAAGTTAAAATGCTATTAAAATGCCATAGAAATCTATTTCAGAAGACAAATATTTCCCCTTTATTTAGCTTTAAAAAAGTTTTTTGTACAGAGTAGAGACTAGATGTAGGAACAGTCCCAATGTGACAGTAAATTTGGTGAAAGTGTTTGTGGGCTGGACTCATTATGCTGTAAGTAAAGCCATCAGTGTTCTGAACGGCTGCCATTTTCAAATGGATGAGCTCCATGTTGTTGCTGTTGTTTCAGGGATTTATTCATTTGATTTAGGTCGAATTAGCTTGGCTGTCTTGCAGGGCCAGTGCTTTCTGATTAAGTAGTGAAGTGTGTAAGGGTAAATTTGGCCAACTATCCTAGGCCTCTGCTAATCCACTCCTTTACACATAACAAAGATTGACCATCACATGCATACATATGCAGAAAATACATATATAAATGCATTCATTATAATAAAAGTGGATTACAGGGGTGGTCTACTACAATATCATATTTTAAAGAGCCCCTATTATGGGTTTTTGAAAATGACCTTCCATGTAGTGTGTAACACAGCTCTAAGTGAAGTGAAATATCCAGCTAAGGCTTAAATTTGAAAGCACACAGTTTTTAAAACTATTGATTCATTTATAAAAGAGTGCTTCAAATGAATCGTCTTGATAACGAGTCAATACTAAAATTAAGCCCCGCCCAACTATTGCACATGCAAACCCGGGACAATTTAAACCTGCGGCCCCGCCCACATACACTGTAGCAAAGAAAAAGAGGAAGACTAACACTGTAGCAGACGCCGGTTGAATTAAGTCGTGTGGACACTGTACTCAGCTGGATATTACTGGAAGTTTGAAGGAAAGTTAGTGCTATTTTCTCTACCGAAAATATGAAACTGTGAAGAGTCAATGATTGAGGTTTAATTTGGCAAAAATACCTCAGCATTATAGCCCTCATTTTTCTGACGAGGGTTTCATTAATCTACACGCTTACAACGGGGTATTCGTCGGCCGTTTGTTAAAGTACGGATCAGAAAAGACTATTGATGTATATGGGACTTTGTCAGAGCTAAACAGGAACTTTACTGTGGATAAGTTTCTTCCTCCATTTCACAAGTGTAAGTAAGTGCGATTAAAATGGTTGCCTCCTTGTTTTCTCTAGCTTGCAAATTATGTATGTAATTGTGTTTTGTTACTTGTAACCAGTGTTGGGCAAGCTACTTAAAAAATGTAGTGAGCTATGAGCTACTCTACTTAAAATGTAGCTTAACTACACTAAAAGCTCTACCCCCTGGGAGATGTAGCAAGCTAAGCTAAAAGCTACATGGCAAAAGTAGCTTAGCTACATCTCTATTTTTTACAATTTTATTTTTAAATCAAAGCAGCTTAAATCCAAGTCAATCATATCTTAGTGATCAATAAAACTGTCAATAAAACATATAAGGCATAATAGTTCAGTTCCTCTTGAGGGAGGGCTTTCGGAGGAACTAGGATTGTCGTGTTAGCAGAGTAGCTGCATAGAATCAAAGTAAGATATATGAAAATAACGTGATTTCCTACAAGTGAAGCATGAGCACAAATTGCTTTGCTTCTTTTAAACACAACCAAGCCTTAAAAATACACTGTGGACCGCCCCTTTAATAAATATGATGTATTATTTAATACATATTACAATATTTATATTAACATAGCTTTGATAATGAAAACTCATTAAGGAATGTAATACTGGTCAATAACTGATAATTGCATTTTGTCTATATACATATTGATATTATGAGAACTTTCTTTGAGTGAAAAACTATGTAAAGGCTAAAGAAATATTAAAAAAGTAAATAAATTTTTTTTATTAGTTTCAAGTGAAAAAGATAATTAAATGATTGTGAATGTTGCTAGTGTTTGAAACTTCTTATTTAAATTGCAAATTTATATATCACAATTTTACCTTTATTTTTCAAAGCTGAATCTGTCTCACAATCACAATTTAAAGTGTGTAAGTTTTGCCCTATGCAGTGTATTCGACTACACTTCTCATATTTGTGAACACAATTTAACACATTACAGTATATTCCATATTTCATCTTCAAATCGCACATGTATAAAACAAAGTTATGTCATAAAGTTTATCTTATTTCTCGCATTTGTGAATTCTAAACCAACCTCTGTCTTTAGATGTGACCTGTCTTTGAATGCGCTTTATGCAGTTACTAAATGGAGATCTTCTTAAAACTGAGTGCGAATGAATTAGCATTGGGCTCCTGCAGTCAGTCCTCTCAGAGCAAACGCGAGTCATTACCACACAGTTACAACCGAAAATTATTCCTGGACACTCTCAGTGACGTGATTACGGGGTGAAGAGAGAGCCTGTGTGTCCATTAGACTGAGAGTCACCAGCGTTCAACTCACCATCTTCATTTCAGCCGTATAATTATCTGTTCGCTGAGTCCCTGAACTGTGACCGGTAGCAGTCGGTGAAATACACTGCATTTATAGCGTCCTTTAAAAACTGTGCTTGTTTTTTTATTATTAAAAATTTATTTAAAAAAATCACTAAACACAAAAACTAATCTTAACTTAGTCCTGACTTGTGTTTCCGACTTGTTGCTCTTTAGTACTGACAGGCGTGGTCAGGTATGTGTGATCACAGCATGGCATTTAGGTGGTAAAATTAACTGAATGATTATGAGTTGATTACAATTACCAGAAAATCCTAGCAACCACCTAGGACACTTTTAAAACACAAAGTAGCTGTCTAGCAACAGTAGAGAACAGTTTGATAACTGTCTAGCAATCATTCAAAGTACCCTTGCAACCACAAAGCAACATCCTAGCAACCACACTGAAAAATCTAAAATAATAGGAAAACCCCATCAACCACTGTTGCAACACTCTTGTAACCAGAAAATCCTAGCAACTGCCTATGACCTGATTAGAACACACAGTAACAATCACTTGAAGTACCCTAGCAACCACATAGCAACACCCTAGCACCCACACAGAACAACCTAAATTATATAGGAACCCCCTATCAACCACCGTTGCAACTCCAAAAATCCTATCAACTGCATAGGACCTGATTAGAAAACATAGTAACTGCCTAGTAACAGCAGAGAACAACACAATAACTGTCAATCAATCACTTAAAGTACCCCAGCAATCACATAGCAACATCCTAGCAACCACGCAGAGCAACCTAAACATATAGGAAAATCCTCAAACAGGATTGCAGCACCCTAGTAACCAGAACATACTAGAAACTGCCTAGGACCTGATTTAAACACATAGTGACTACCTAGCAACAGTAGAGAGCAACATAATACCTGTAACTGTCAAGCAATCTATTTAAGTACCCTAGCAACCCCATAGAACAACCTAAAACATATAAAAAAAACCCTATCAACCACCATGGCAACAGGATAGGAACCAGAAAATCCTTGGTAACTATAAAATCCTAGAATCTGCCTAGGACCTGATTAGAACACATAGTAACTGCCTAGCAACAGCAGGGAACATTGTAATCACTGTCCAGCAATCACTCCAAGTATCCTAGCAACCGAATAGCATTGTCCTAGCAACCACAAATAACAACCTAAAATATATTGGAAAACCCTATCAACCACCATTGCAGCACCCTAGTAACCAGAA